AAGATCAATTTCAGCAAGATTTTCTATTAACCGCAGGACATTGTGCCTATCCCTATAATGATACCTCACCAAAATTGGTTTATCGTCATTATAGTAATTTGGCTGGTTTAATTGGATCAATGGAGAATTATACGACCACACCAATTGATCTTGGTTTTATCAAAAAATTAACGGTAAACTCTCATATCAGTGTAGTACCAAATATACGGAATTTCATTTTTCCAGCTTTGGCAAATCCGATATATGTAGAGTATTTTATTATATAGAAATAATTAGTACTGGTGTTCATATATGTAAGTCGGGTTATACAAGCGGTATTACTTGTGGTTATGTGAAATCACTTTATGCAACCATTACAACTGATGAAGATAAAATAGGTGGCTTACTAACAACCGTATACTCTTATCGCGGTGACAGTGGCGGATCTATGTTTCAATTCAGTTACAGTGATTATTCGATACCTTTCGTATATGCAGTCGGCATACTTATAGGAGGTAAAAGCAACTCATACGAAGCTGAGACATATTGTGAACCAATAAGAACAGCTTTTGAATATGGTTACACTCTTGTTCATTATCCACACTAAGCAGATGTGTTACGCGTTTTATGTTAATTATTAATTGGCATGTGTCATTCGTAGATTAGACGTCATTTCGCTATTAGAAAATTACTGTAACATGTAAAAATATTAAAAAGAATACTAACCTTTTTCAATATGTTTGGTGATGTCACGATTTTATAAAAACTGTGAGTGATGAGAATAATTGAGGCTAAGAAATATGATGATTGGGTAGATTCTGCATTATTATTTTATAATATTTATTATTTTTATTTTATTTTCTTTTATTTTTTCTATTTTTACTATTTGTTTACCCAAAGAGAAAAAAAAGTGTATTACTATTTTTGCGATAATAAGATAAAGAGAAGCTAAGTTTGGAAAAGGCATTGCATGAGATATTGGGGACCAAAAGAAGAGTAGAAATAGAATAAAACGCATCGCAACATATAGTATAAAAGCACTGCATTTTTATTCTTTAAGTAAGATTTCGAAGTTTTTCAAATGTAAGAAAGATATTAAAACCTATTAACAATGAAAATGTTAAAGTTTTAATAGTTATAAGTATTGAAAAAAAAACCGGTAAGTAGAAACGAAATTTAAGTGGATTTAATATAAATTTTTTTTTTTATAAACCTTAATACAATAATGCCATGGGATCTATTTAATGAATCAGATTTTAAAAAAATTGGATTAAAAAAATTGGATTAAAAAAATAGCAGCGAAAATCTTATGAAGAAGTAAAGGTTTGATAACTCAGAAGTTATAAATTTAGGGTTTATTAAACGGTTTTACTAAATCACACCACTGGTGCTAACACCACATCGATTTTGACCAATAAAATTAATGATCTGCAGTGTAACGTCAAGATCAGGTGTAACATAAAATCAAAACAATCTTTGTTGTTTTTTTAAAAAACCTTTAATAACTCAAAATTTTGCTTATGAAACCATCTTTTGTATTCTAATAAAGAAAATTTCTTGCACAATTTTGCTATATACTAATCTTTACTTACAATTCTAGCTATAACCCTAACCTACTATAAGCTAAATTTTAAATTATTTCTTTAATTTTTTGTTTATTTGTTTTGATAATGATCTTCATATTATACAGCATATATAGTATACTGGTGCTAGCACCACAGGTGTGATTTAACATAACTGTATATTAAAAAAGTGTCAGTGAATAAAATTTTACTTGGCAGAAAATATTTTACAGTTATTATCATAATTTTTAGAACACCTGCTTATTATCCAAAATCTTTTTGGTCATTTGGTAAATTACCTAACTCTCTGGAAACTGTATTGCTGTCTTCGAACCTTCAGTCTGGAGGTAGTGATGTAATTTTTGGAGAGTTAGATAATTTACCGAACAACCAAAAAGATTTTGGATAATAAGCAGATATTTCAGAAATTATGCTAATAACTGTAAATGTCAAATATGTTTATCATTGTAATGAATATTTTAATAATAATTATAATTTGATAAAGTTTATTATATAAATAAATCATTTTTATTAGTAAAAAAATATATATGAAGTCTATGCCTGAAAAATCACCTTCTGGCATTTCTGATTGGGTTAATTCAGACAAAAATAAATCTGAGATTATCTTTTAACTTTATTGATTCAATAGTTTATCGAATAACACTATTGAATCAATAAAAGTAAAAGATGATTAATATATGAACATGAACTGGTACTCGGGTTTATTTTTGTCTGAATTAACTCGATTAGAAATGTCAGAAGGTGATTTTCATAGCAAAAACTCTATATATATATTAAACGAGCATGTCATTTCGATTTACTATCATACAAGTAAACTTTGTCATAGATTCAAACTTTAGCATCAATGAATTATTATTTTATTTTTTATAAGAGAAAAATGGGTGCTACCGGTGCCACTATTGCATTAATTGTATCAATTTGGTCAAATTCTTTAATAAAATATCATGTAATTAATACTGAGCTAGAGACTACCACAAGTAGAGATAGGCAAATTGCAGTTTTTCTAAAAATCTAACGCGGGATTCATTTAACCTAGGTGTCGCAGTTTATCCTCAATTTTGATTGGCCAACGGTGACCGAGTAAAATTGCCACCCAAAAAAGTTTTGAAAATCATGATTAAGATCATAATAATATAAAATATTAATTGATTTAGAAAGTGATTTTTTTTCTTTGATTCTTCAAAATTGAAAGCAATCTTTGCAGTTTTGACAAACTAAGTGATTCTTTAAAAGCATAAAATATGATAAACATGATATTCTAAAAATATACATGATTGCTGTAACCAAATTTCCAAATGAAAAAAAAGAATAAAAATTGAAATAAATTATAAAAACTAATCAGTAAATGTAATTGCACCAGAAAACTTTGTAAATTTTATTTTTAATGCATTTCCAGAAGGCTACAACTCTGAAAATTTATTTGAGCAAAAAATTTTTATAACACTTAATCCAAAATGTAACAAAAAAAAATTATTAAATAAACATAATGAATCCAAATAGCAGCAAATGATCAGTATTATTAACAAAAACTATAAACCATTGAACAAATTGAAGGAAGATTATTATTATTTTAAAGAGCAATAGAATCTTTCAAATACTTAGAAAACCTGTAATTATAATACTTTTTGGTTTAAAAATATTAATTTTATTGAGTTTATTTGAAATAAAATCAAATGATTAACTTATTGCTTATCATTATTATTTTGTTTGTCTATAAGAAAACCTGTAATTATAATACTTTCTGGTTGTAAAAATATCACTTTTATTGAGTTTATTCAAAATAAAATCAAATGATTAACTTATTGCTTATCATTATTATTTTGTTTATCTATAAAGTTTTTTGTATTTTTTGTTTGTTATATGAATTTTTGATGCAGATATATTTGTCATGTGATGTTTGAAACTTTTTTGGTAGCAATTTAACCCCAGTTATGAAAATTAGATTATGGCAATTGATGTATATTTTAAAAATATTTTTGTTTATTGAATTTTATGTCTTCAAAAGAATCACTTAGTTTGTCAGATTGCAATGATTACTTTTTATTTTAAAGAATCGAAGAAAATAAATTACTTACTAAATCAATTAATATTTTATAAATATTATTATATATCATGAGATAAATTGACAATATTACATTATTTTTTTTGGGTGGCTCAATTACTAATTATATTAATATAAGCCAGATATTATGTTAATGCAGCCAGATAATATAGTAAT